AGACTGATTAATTTTCCATTTGAACTGAGATGGAATAATCTCCTCTGGTTCAAGGAAAAAATAATCCAGATATATTGTCTAATTCTATTATATGTTACAAATGAAAGCAAGCTAATTCAATCCTGAATAGTAAGAAATTTCTTTTTCTCACTAATCATAATAATGAAACTGTTCCCCTTGTTTTTGCACCATTGTCCCCCATAGCTTACAGAATCACAGAATCACAGAATGGTAAAGGTGGGAAGGGACCTCTGAAGGTCATCTGGCCCAAACCCTGCTCAAGCAGGGCCACCTACAACCAGTTGCCCAGGACTTACTTCTTCTATTTGTCATATAAACACATAGATTAACTCCAGAAGGGGGAAAGCAAGGCAGATTATATTTTTCTTTTCTTGTGATTGAAGTACCAGCATAATACAGTTCAGAGACAAAAGCTTTTCTTCTCTCCGTTAAAGTGTCCAGTCCTTCACTTAGCTCTCAATAGGAGACTCCACATTACTATTTCTGACAAAACTCTTAGAAATATGTTCATACGTGTTCATCTTTTTTCATTTTGTAATCTCAATTTGAAAGTGTTCCATATTGCTTAAAATGGTCTCCAAATAGTTTTTCTCCTTTCTGCTGTGGTAATCGTTCTCAGGCAGATCAGTGTCTTAGGCTAGCCAGAAGATGGACCACAGGAAGAAAGAACTTTATATCTTGCTGAATAAAATATTCTGGGTTCAAACAAACTTCCATTAAAATCAATAGAAATAGTCAGCTGTGAAAGTAAGAGAGGCTGACAGAATGTGCTATATGAAGAGATTGCCGTGTGATGGATGGTTTAAAATTACAAAGAATAACATTTTTTGTACTGAATCAAGGAACATAATTGTGTTTTTTTGTCTCACTTATTTTTAAAATAATATTTCAGCTGACATCCAATAAAGAACTAATAATACATTTCTAACCTAAAAGTGTGGGTGTCATTCCATGTAATAAAACAAGGCAATGTTCTTACTCTAAGGAACATGCAAAACTAACACTTCAAGAAAACTTAAACCCATTAAAAAATCAATAGGACTCTTACCAAGTAAAATCCAAAGGATTTCAAACAATACTAAGATGTCATCTGAGACAATTGTTTATGGTCACTATTCTTTTCCATTGTTTTTTCATGTTTCATATTTTATTAAACATTAATCCCTTTCTCCCTTTTTTTTAGTTTACTGCCTAGTGGAAATGTAAGGGTATGGTTATTGTACAATTAAGTATGCAAAAAATACACACTAATTATATATTTACCCACACAAAACCAAGATACTGAAAAGTGCATGCTGGCTGGTGAGCTATGAAAGTTTTAGCAACAGTGTTTACCAAAACTCACATACACAGATTTTGCAACAAAATGAGACATAAAGCAAAAAAAAAAAAGAAAAGATGGAGGAGAAGACTTCAGTAGTTGTATGAAGTTCAAAATTTCAAACTCTCTGCAAGAGGGAGTCCTATTGAGGTAGAAAGTGATTTTGACCAGTCGTTAACTTACAAACCCTGTGAGCTTGCTTATAAAAATATTTGAACTAGCTTTTAGCATCCAGCTATGTAGATCCTAAGATATCCCCTTAAGGTCTCATTAACAGAACATTATCAGAGGCCATTCCTCAGCTATTTTGTGGATGTCTCACTCCATAACGATAGCGACTAATTACATTCTGGCGTATTTTAAACATATCTGGTAGGTACCACATGCTATTTTTCTATATTATTGCAATGATGTTCTTAAATTTAAGAGCGCCAATCAAAAGAGATCTTAGACCTTTAAAGGTGAAAACACCCTACTTCTGAAAAGGAAAAATGCGGAAGCTCACTGCTATATGATGTGACACAGCACATTTTGCCAGAACAGCAAATTCAGCTGTTTTGTGCCTACTTGTTCTATAACCTTTTTTTTTTTTTTTTAAAGTAACTATAAATTTAAACTTAGCCATTTGGATGTCTGCATCATTCTGCAGAAGAAGTATCTGACTGTCTATAAACACTCCTATGGATGTTTTCTACACTATCATCTTTTTGCGGTTACTCTACTGTTGCTTGACTAAGGCAGACTGCACATCTGTATTAGAGAAGTTTATCCTATGGATAAATCAGATGACTTTCAATTACTGCACAAATAAAATTCTTTAACTAGAGGAGAGACAGAACAGAGAAGGTCAGAAGAAGTGCTGAGAGGGTTAGCAAGCAGAGTAGGACAGTTTATTAAGATTAACAGCTGCAGACTTGATGCTGCTAATGGCAAGACAGAGGACAGAAAACATAGGTGAATCCTTTCATGGAAGTCTTATATTCTTTATATTCCTATATATAAGGAGCTTACTGCAGAGCGCTGTGGCTGAATCCTGTGCCCTGCTCACCCAGCAGGATTTTTAAACACTCAGAGCCAGGCTGGCTGGGATGATGGCTGGCTGGCTGGCTGGTTGAACGGGTAAATTCTGGTAGCCAGGATCACCGCGGATTTATCGCGGTGTACGTGCCACTATTGCTGACCGTCCGCATCAGTAAGCATCGATGGCAGATATGTTCTTGATTTCAGAGTACAGAGAAGACAATCCACAGGCTGAAGAAAGCCTCGAGGTTTTTTGTTAAAACACGGCGATTTACTGGGGGGAAAAAAAATAAAAATCGAGGCTTCCTCATCGCTCACCGTCTGGACCAGCAGTTGCGCAGTTCAGCGCTGTCCCACAGCAGCGAAGGCACCCCCCTAGTTAAAAAGCTGTCTAAAGACAAGAGGTCTCCCTCCCGCGCTGTTACTGCCCGCCGGACAGCCGGCTGACCC